CCGGTAAGCGCACCTTGGGGTGCTTACAAACATCATTAGAAATGGGCTAGACCAGGTGCGAGAATTAGCCTGTAAGGGCTAGAGTTCATGGGTCAAGCAGTTCTTTAAATGAATACAGTTTGTGTGTTGTTATTTTGGGCATAAGCTAGCCAAGCGGCCGGGGTGTTGGGGACGCAGCCCCGCCGCTCCTATTTCAACAGTTTGCCAACAGAGTGTTTGGTCTAGGGCATGAGTCAAGGGCATGAGTGACTGAACATGCCCCATGACTTTCAATTTGTATGATAATGCAGGTTTTTTTTGTTCTACTCCTACCTTCTGAAATCAGGGGTATATTAAGTTGTTGAAAATTTAAAAAGGGTGATTTTTCAGTATTTACTGAAATTTCCTCCAAATACTATCCTGTAGTTTGTGTGTTTTATATTTTCATTCACATATTTGTATTCTTTACTATATTTCTAAAATTCCCATGCCTCCACTCTGGAAGAAAGGTATTTTTGTCGAGGCTTGCCCCTGAGAGATAAGATCTTATTACTTCTAATTTCTGAACTGTATTTTAATAAGATGCTGATTCACCCGTAGCAAGGCAGGAAGTATAGGCGGGAACAGCCAGGCAGGAAGTAGAGGTGGAGCAATGAGAACAGGAACATTCTGGGAAGAAGAATGCCCATTTTTCTGCAGTCATGATCCAGCTGCAGAAGAAGCAAGATGTGACTGCCTTTCTGAATAAGGTACTGAGCCACATGGCTAACATAGACAAGAATAATGGGCTAATATAAGTTACAAGAGTTAATAAGAAGTCTGAGCTAATGGGCCAAGCAGTTTATAACTAATGTAGAACTCTGTGTAATTTCTTTTGGACTTAACAACTGTGGGAACCGGGCAGGGCAGAAACAGAAGACAACAGAAAATAATTAACTTCATCTAGTGGTTGAGATCTTGTTTTTTTTCTCATGTTTTTTTTTTCTTTCCAATATGGTATATTTTTAATGGTAGAAATCATTACATTACATTTGAATTGGAATAAAAATTTCACTTCATTGTATACAAAAGTATTTTAGTATTTAGTAGTGTTGGTTTTTCACTGAGGATTGCCAAAGAGTATTTATAAGATACAGCATTCTATTGTAATAGTGAACATTATATTAAAAACTTAAAATTACTGTTTAAGGGAACTATAAAAACAAAAATGTCTAACTTGTTCTTCCTGGAATGTTGGGGATTGTTCTTGTAATTGCCTGTGTTTTCACTTCAGTAAACAAGCTTGTTTGCCCCTGACTGTACATTAACAGGATGTGTTCTTAATTGACTATAGGTAGTATAAAGGTAAAAATAAAATGCTGCAGGATCCCTGGCAGCTGCAATAGCAGAAATGCTGCAAGTCTCTGAGTGGGGGCAGGCAGAAGTCCCCAGAGCAGCCATTCCCAGTCAGGGATAGCATACAAGACCACATTGCAGTTCTCCAAAGGTGGCTGGTCCCGGGTGGAGAGCCTCATGGTGGTGGTGAGCAAAGGAGAGATGGATAGGCACACCATGCAGAGTGAGATTGGATATTTATTACATGGGTTATGGAAAGAAAGGAGGAAAGAAGAAGAGCAGAGAGAAGTGCAGAGAGAGATAGAGAGAGAAGGGGAGAGAGAGAGAAAGAGAGAAGGGGAGAGAAAAAGAGAGAAGGGAGAGACAGAAAGAGAAAGGACAGATGGAAGCTGCCTCTTGAGAGGGAGATGGAAAAGGGGGAGACTCAGGCTGCAAGCAGGAAGTAAGATCTGCCTGCCTTGGCAGACAGAGGAGGGAGTGGGCGTGGCTTGTCTCTTAAAGGGACAGAACAGACTATTACAGGTAAGATATGTGCCGGATTACAGGATATATGCTTGATCCTGATTACAAAATGGCACGAAATACATAGCCTTGTGAGTTTTGCCTTTATAAATTCATGATTAACACAATCTTGAGAGTGTTCTTATGTATTCAGTGTCAGTATTTAATAAAGTCTCTTATTAGTTAACTTTCTTCATTGTCATGTTGAATCTCTGAGTGACCTCAGACCCATAACACTACAATTCTATTTCTTACAAAGTCTATGTCTGGTTGCAATACCAAGTTAATACTGGTTCTGTAGGATGAAATAGAAATTACTTTCATTTGTATCCTTCACTGGAACAGTTTTACACATTTTCTGTGTGGATAGCTGAAGAAGCTCTAAGTGTGTGTAAAGAGTCAATAAAGACATGCTTTTGAGAGGGCCATGCAAAAATCATGACAGGCACCTAATTACTTAATTAAGCATAAGTCCTAAGCCAACTCCCACTCCACACAGGTGATACTTTATAAGGACAAAGCCTGGGACTTGTCCAAGACTTGCCAAAGAATCAAAAAGCTATAACCTTATCCCACCCCTGATAGCCCTAACTAATTAGACATGTACTAATATGATTGTAGTATCAATAATAAAAACCCAGAGGCAGAAATCAGGGTTCAATCTGAAAACCAAAAAGTCTTTACTGGAGAAGTCTTACTTCTACCAAGGCTGGGAAACTGCAAACTAAGCAGACAGCCCCTCTCTCCTCTCATTTTGTATTTTCTCTAGTGCTGGGATTAAGAGCATATAACTCCCAAGCACTGGGATTAAAGTGTGTACTACCACCACCTGGATTTTTTTTTCTGTATTGATCTTGTGTAATCCAAGGTGGCATTGAAATCACAGAGATCCATCTGACTCTATCTCTTAAATCCTGGGATTAAATGAGTGTTTCACTATTGCCTGACCTCTGTGGCTTAAGATTTGCCTCCATTCTTCAGTCAAGATGTACTTATCAAGAAATTAATAATATACCACTATATATGATTGCCACCTGAATAAGCCAATCCTAAGCAGGATGGTCACTCTGCTTTTAAAATTCCCATTACTGTGCTTAAAAGGAGCTTACACATACCTCTTGGGGTTTTTGCCTTTTTGTACAGGTGTGTAATTCCACATGTATGTGGCATAATAAATGCTCTTGCTGGTTGCATTAACACAGGTAGTTTTTTGGGACTCCTTATGTTCCCTAACATATAAATATCTATTATTGACAAGGATTGCTGTCTCAGAGCTATGAAAAGTAGAAAAGATTTTCACAGTGTAGGCTCAAAATTTCAGTCTTCCTCTGGTCAGTATGCAAATGTTGACAGAGATTACAGAAAGCATGATTGTGGGAGCCAGCCATGACAAGCTAAGTATGGGCTGAAGCAGGGTTGCAAGAAGAAATACATGCTAAGATTACCCAACCTCCACCAAAGAACAGACCATTCTAAGGAAATGTCTAACATTCCAACCACTGTAAATAGGACTACCTGCCAGAACACACTCACCAGGACACCCCTAGATAAATGTCAGCTAATCAGGAGCCCTAAATCTTCAGAAGCCCCCACCCCCACCTTTACTACTATAAAATCCTATTCTAATTGAGCCCAGGGCTCTCCTCTAATATGTTGGACATGCAGAAAGACCAGGTTTTCAAACTTGATTAAAATAAAGGCTCTTTGCTTTTACATACAGGACTCGGTTTCCTTGTTGGTTTTTGCAGGGACTTTTCATGTTTAGGCATATCATTTGGGGGCTCACTGCTTGGCCCATTAGCTCTAACCTTTTACTGGCTAACTCTCACATCTTGATCAACCCATTTTTATTCATTTATTTATTAAAGATTTCTGTCTCCTCTCTGCCACCACCTCCCATTTCCCTCCCCCTCTCCCAATCAACTCCCCCTGTCTTGTCAGCCCGCAGAGCAGTCAGGTGATGAAAGGAAACAGAGACAGAGTCCCACATTGGAGCACCGGACTGAAACCCCAAGGTCCAAATCAGGAGCAGAAGGAAAGACAGCAAGAAAAAGGAACTCAGGACCATGAGGGTAGCACCCACACACTGAGACAATGAGGATGTTCTATTGGGAACTCACCAAGGCCAGCTGGACTGGGTAGGAAAAAGCATGGGATTAACCCATTTTTAATAATGTGTGTAGCACCATGAGGTGGTGGCTTACCGGGAAAGAGTCTAGCCTACATCTGTCTCAGGTCAGAGAAGCATGGCAGCTGCCTCATTTCCCTTCTTCCCAGCTTTCTGTTCTGTCTACTCCACCCACTTATGTTCTGACCTATTAGGCCAAACAGTTTCTTTATTAATTAACCAATGAAACAACAGATAGATAGAAGACCCACCTATATCAGATGGGTGGCTAGGCTATGTAGCCTTGTTGTTGTAATGTAACAAGGCTGCCAGCCACAGGTGTAGGGTGTAGATGTATCCCAATAGGATTTCAAACACTGAACAGAGAATCTGGGGTTAACTACTATGGCTTGGAGAGGATAGCAATCTCCCTCCCCATACTGCATACCACCCTCCCCATCCCATGCTGGCTGATGAGTTCCCTCTACCTACCCTGGGTGTGGTGTGCCTCAACTTCAGGTCAAACCTGACCAAGGTTTGACTGGAACATGAGGGCCTGCTTGTTGTCATTTCTGTTTTGCCCAGTTCCCACAGCTGGTAAGCCCCAAAGAAAATCACACAGAGATCTCAATAAGGTATAAACTAATTGGTCCATTAACTTAGACTTCTTATTAACTTTTATAACTTATATCAGCCAATTATTCTAGTATATGTTAGCCACATGGCTCAGTATCTTTTCAGCAGGGCAGGTCACATCCTGCTTCTTTGGTGTCTGAACAGTACTGGGGAGAGGGCTTCCTGCTTCCCAGAATATTCCTGTTCTCATTGTCCTGCCTCTACTTCCTTTCTGGTTGTCCTGTCTATACTTCCTGCCTGGCTACTTGCCAATCAGGGTTTATTTAAAACGTAATTGACAGAATATAGAAAATTCTCCTACACCACTTTCTCCCCTTTTATTTAAACAAAGAAAAATATCCATAGTCCGTTTTTTTGGAAATGCAGGCATAGTATTGCAGGCTACTTTCTGCTGATTGGAGGTACTGATAATCTTATGGGGACCTAAAGAAAATTTAGAATTATGATCAAGTCCTGACTGGAGTATCCTGTGAGGCTTGATCATCTCAGGAAGCATCTTGAATCTGATCTGGATGTAGATCTCAGACATCTGGGCCACCTGTTCCTACCAGAGATTTCTCAGGTGGTATTCATTGATCAAACCTGATTTTTCTTAACTTGGAATTAATCCATAGCCTCTTATTTCTGGTGGAAACAGAAACAAAATCTCTTCTCCAAAGTATCATACCTTTTGACTTCAATTTTGGAGTCAAGGTATTTTCAAAATACTTATCTAAGATTAATTCAGCAGCACTTATAAGCAAATATCTTTTAGCAGTTGTTTCTCTTTCCTCAGCATTTAAACAATTCAAAGAGAGCATAATAACCTACAGTATCCAGATTCTCTGTGTATTTTTCATAGTTAACCTCTATTTCTTTTACTTTTACTTTTTGATATAGGGTTTCTGTGTGCCTTTGTCCTAGAACGCACTCTGTAGACCAGGCTGTCTTCGAACTCCACAGAGATCCACCTGTCCCTGCTTCCCTAGTGCTGGGATTAAAGGTGTATGCTATCACACCTTGAACTCACAGTGATCTGTCTGCCTCTGCCTCCCAGGCTTTGGGATTAAAGGTGTGTACTACCACACCCACCTACTCTCTTTCTTTTTTATTTTGAAGACTTTAACCTCTTTCGTCACTCTCCGAAGTAAATATAAAAATTTTTAGCCACAGTAAACCATTTAGAGGATT